ATAACATCCTAAGGTCCACATTATGCTCATAGAACAACTTACTAAAATCTCATTGCAATCTGACGGTCGGATCTCTTCCAATTGCTAGAATTAGGTGGCAGTCAACAATTAGTTTTACAAACTTAGAAATTCAATTCGGAAAGATCCGTATGTTGGATTCCTGATTCTTCAGTTCCTAACATCCTCAAATATTACGTTCTATAAGATATTAAAGTTTGAGGACGATCCAATAGTCGGATCGTCGATTCATATATTTATCAAGTGGCGTATTATAATGAAAACAGGTTCAAACAATCAAATTTCATCAAGCGGGTATCAACTCTGAAATCAAGACATCTAATTTAGTTTAAAATAGCATCGTCGGCCTACTAGCCACGTGCCGCCGCTAGTGGCGGTCGGCTGCCCGGACTTGCCAGAAAATTCAACTATCTCCAAAAATTACCAAATTTTACCATAATGAAGATCTCAATGAGTAAAGCAAGTTTTATACCTGTGGCCAAGTCCAATTTGGTTGGAAAAAGCCCCAATTTGGCTCCCACCCGTCGAAATAAATTAATATAAATTCCCGAAACATAATATAAAATGTCAAAAATACAAATACATAGATCATAACAGTGAAATCCAGGAACGGGATTTCACATTCTTCCCCCCTAAAAAAAATTTTGTCCTTGAAATTTCCCAGTATCAAATCATTGTCCACTAATGCAACAATTCAAGTAAATAGTGATGCACAAACACATTCACACTTTAGCTATAACTAGATTTAGCTAGCTCAAGTTCAATCACATTGTACCTCAACTCACAAATACAATCATCGTCGTCCCAGCACGACTTCAACACCAATCTTTGCACAATCACAAAGAATGTCACTACTGACAAGAATTCATCAATATACTCATGATTCTGGCAACCAAACCAACCAAATTGTAATTACAAGCTTTCCCCCTCAACCCTTTTCATCAAACGTTAAAAAAAATGGAATAATATTACACGTGTCCCACAATTGGGAAGTTGTTATCAGAGTGACACAATAGCTAGGTCACAGTTATTTTCTTTTTGAAAATTTATTAATTCATCTTTACAAGTTGCATGAAATTAATTGTGTACATCAAACATTCAAATAGAGGTATTTTAGGCATTTGAAATTTTTTTTAATGTGTAAAGTCAAACATAATTAATGAATTTGCTGATGTGAAATCTAGTCAATGATGATTTTTACTCACGTAAAAAACTAATGCCGAATTTTGTTTGGAGAAAATTAAATTTGAAAAGCCAAAGTCATATTTTTATTTTTATTTATTTTATTTTTGATTATTGGATTGTCAAAAATCAAACATACATGAATATAGTAAAACAAGAATGTGAGAGGAGAAAAAAAAGTGTCTATTTATTATTTCTCATTAAATATTGTAATAAATATAGCTTTAACTTTTAACTAGGACTACGGTTGAGAGAGAAATTTTTTAGTGTGCTAGGAACAAGCCCCGGTACACAATTGGTTGGAAATTTTTGTTTTCAAATGTCCAACCAATTGCATTATTACACTTATGTACTAGGCCGTGTTCCGCACACTGAAAAATTTATTGGTTAATGTTTCTGTTCAAAAAAAAAACAAAAAAATAAAAGGGAAAGGTTTTATTTACTTGGTTATTTTGTATTATATATGTTATTTTATTGAAGTTTTTCTTTGTTTTCAAGGAATTAATTTTGTTGACTTATTTGATTAGATTAGTATCCTAGAAGCCTTCCTGTATTGCTATATATTGTAAACCATACTATCACCCACCCATAACTCAGCCACAAAATATCCAAACCCTAACACTAGTGTATGTGCACTTGAACAACATCAGAAAAGAAAAGATGAATGATTCTACCTCTCCTTCAACAAAAGCATTAATATTTATCATTCAAATAGTTTGTCTAGTTGTGTTTCTTCCAACCAGCCATTGCAGCAGACCGGCAGTCTTCTTCCCAATGGATGCCAGTCTGATCGAACAAACATGCAACCAAACACCATATCCCGATCTTTGCGTCTCTACTCTTCAATCAGACCCTGGATCGAAGCGCCAAAGAAGATGTCAATGACTTAGGCATCATATGGTCGATGCACTAAAGCCTAAGGCACTCGACGTTTTGGATAAAGCCTTGGTACTTGTAGTTAAAGAACCCGGAAATCAGCCCGCAAAAGCTTGCGCAAATACCTACCAAGAAGTTCTCTTACTGATATTCCACAAGCCAGTGAAGATTTCCCTAAAGGTGAGTCTAGGATAGCAGCGCTAGCCATGATCAATGTCGTCCAAAAATCAGATTCGTGTGAAAGTGGTTTTCCCGGCGGCAGTCCTTTCAAATATAAAAGCAAAGTTGTCCATGATGTTGCTTATGTGGCTTCAGCAATTGCCAAATTAATCAACTCTTAATGTATTCTTCTATTGTTGTAGTAAAGTAGTGAATTTGATATAATAAAAACTCAAGAATAGGATTAGAGTTGTTTGAAAATTTCCAAATCCATTTTTTTTGTTTACAAATGATAGTGTTAGTGAGTTAAATTGTTAAATGTTAGCAGGAGGATGATAGTTTAGGGTTGAAGCTGCACTAGGGTACATAGCAATCATGTTTATGCATCTTAGTGCATGTTCGATCTCCACCGTTATCTAAGCCACTAATGCTATCGTTGTACCCAAAACAATGAACATAATGAATTTTTATCTTATCACATGTAAATAAGTATAAAATTTCCGATTGGAATATATTGAGTAAATTATTTTGCTTGTATTTTACAGATATTAAGTAAATTATTTGTTTTTAAGTAACATTTTAAAATTTATATAGTAGGTGCACTATTTGAATCAAATAACATTTCTTTATTTTGTATGTAAATTATTTTGCGTGAATTTTTACATATATTGGGCATTTTATTATTATATATATGTGTGCTTCAAATAATATACCTACATTTGTATGAAGAGTATTATTTTCTTGATTTAATTAAGCATGTATTATTTCATATATTAGGCATGTTTTATTGTTATTATACAATAGGAAATGCATTTATAACATTAAGAGTAATGTTATTCATACCATGTTTTTGTACCACATTTCTATACCACCTTGGTGGCATTTGATGTGAACAGCCACATCATTTGAAAAGTTTACAAAACCCAAGGAAATGAATAAGAAAGACTCCTCGTATACCACAATCATCATTTAATTAACTAGTTTTTCTTAATTATTAGTTTATTAAATAATGAACTAAATTTAAAAATCTAATTAATTCAAATGATGTGGCTGTCCACATCAAATGACATCTAATGTGGTATGAAAATGTGGTACAAAAATATGGTATAAATAGCACTACTCTAACATTAATGTCTTTTTCTTTTTGTAAAATTATTAATTTGTCCTTACAATCCACATGTAATTAATTGTTTAGGCATTCGAACAATTTTAAATGTGTAAAGTTAGACATAATTAATGAATGTAAGTGGCCATTTTCTACAGTGGTGGAAAAAAGTTAAGCCCTTGCATAACTGTATGGGTTCAAACTCCGTCAGTGGCTAATCTAACACCTAATTTAACAAAAATCTACTGTTTGACAAGAAAAAAAAAACATAATTAATGAATTTGTTGATGTCGAATATAGTTAGTGGTTTTATTTACACAATTAAGAAATTTGTTGATGTTGAATCTAGTCAATAAGTTTTATTTGAGTGAAAAACTTATATCTCATTTTATTTGGAGAAACTTAAAATTCAAGGGCCAAAGTCTATTTTTATTTCTAGTCATCGAATGGTAAAAAATCAGACATGCATGAAAATAATAAAACAAGGGTTGGAGGAGGAAAAAAAATGTGTCCATTTATTATTTCTGATTAATGAAAAAAAAATTAAAATTTGGGGAGAAAATACATTTTGCCAAGATTGAGAGTGAATGAGAATGAGAGAGAGGAGTGAGTCTGAGAGAGTTAGAGGAGACAGTGAGAGAGATGAAAGAGTGAGTGAGAGTGAGAGATAGAGAAGAGTGAGTAAGAGTGAGAGATAGAGAAGAGAGAGAGAAATGAGAGATTTGGGGAGAGGGAAAGAGATGAGAGGTAAGAGAATAGAGAAGGACATTGAGAAAATTGTGGAGGAACTATATTGGTTTTAAAAACTGTATCACTTTGCGCGATGAAGGATACGAGTTTGAGCAATAAAATATTGATCGCGCAAAGTCTTAAAAAAATTTAAAAAAATAAAATTTCCCTCTTCCCATTTTTGGCACCCGCTCAATTTTGAAGGTTTTGCACGACTAAGTGTTGGTCGTGCAAAGTTTTGGGCAACGAATGATTTGACACACCCTGACCTAGAATGTTCACCTGGACTCCGAATCGAGATGTGTCAACCGATACCAGAAAGGTGACAAAGCCAATATAAAATATAAAACTAAATAAAAAACAAGTAAATAGGGTTTAGGTGACGAAATATTGATATTCGTCACGCAAAGTTTTAAAAAAAATAATAATAACTTATGAAAATAACTATATTAAAATTTATAATATAAAATTAAATAAAAAAAGAAAATAAGTTGGTTTAGGTGATGAAATATTTGGATTTCGTCACGCAAAGGTTTTTAAAAAATAATTTTTTACTTTTGTAAAGACTTTGCGTGACGAAGTTTAAAATTTCATCGCGCAAAGCAACTTTGAGTGATGATGTTTGTTTCGTTGCGCAAAGTGACTATGCGCGACGATGTGTGTTTCGTCGTGCAAGGGTTTTTTTTTGTGGTTTAAAATGACTATGACAATGTTTTTGTCCAAAAAAAAAAAAAAGTTTTATTTATTTATGTATTTATTATTATGTTATTCTATTGAAAGTTAAGCTTCTTTGTTTTCAAGGAATTATGTTGACTTATTTGATTAGGTTTGATGTGAGATTAGTATCCTAGTTTAGTGTAATGCTATATATTGTAAACCATACTATCACCCACCCATAACTCAGCCACAAAGTACAGAAACCCTAAATTAGTTTGCACAATAGTCTATGCACTTGAACAGCATCAGTAAAGAAAAGATGAAGAATGATTCTACCTCTCCTTCAACAAAAGCACTAATATTTCTCATTCAAATTGTTTTTCTAGTTGTCTTTCTTCCAACCAGCCATTGCAGTAGGCCAGCGGTCTTCTTCACAATGGATGCCAATCTGATCGAACAAACATGCAACCAAACACCATATCCCGATCTTTGCGTCTCCACTCTTCAATCAGACTCTCGAAGCACCGAAGCGGATGTCAAAGGCTTAGGCATCAAAGTGGTTGATGCAGTTAAGCCTAAGGCAATCGAAGCTATGAATAATGCCTTGGAACTTATAGAAGGAGCTTGCGGAAATACCTACCACCAAGTTTTCGGTACTGATATTCCACAAGCCAGTGAAGCTTTCTCTAAAGGTGACTCTAAGATAGCAGAGATAGCCATGATCAATGTCGTAGAAAAAGCAGATTCATGTGAAAGTGGGCTTCTCGGCGGCAGTCGATCATTTCAAAGATAAAAGCAAAGTTGTCCATGACGTTGCTTATATGGCTTTAGCAATTGCCACAGGATTGAACTTTTGATGTATTCTAATATAATAGAAACTGAAGAAGAGGATGAAAGTTGTGTTTGAAAATTCCCGAATCCAATTTTTTTTTTATAATTTTTACAAGCAATAGTGTTAGTGGGTTAAATTGTTAAATACTATAAGGAGGAGAATTGGTAGAGATCGAACCTGTATTAAGATGTATAACAATCATGCGTATGAATCTTGATGCGAATTTGATTTCCACCGCTATCTAAGCCCTTAATACTATCGTTCTACTACAAAACCTGAACATAATGAATTTTTAAATTTGATTACTCCCATAAGCTTGGAGCCCTGGACATATATGCAATTATTTATCACCTATAGTTTGAGGTACCGAATAGAAAGAGGTTTAGTATTGTTCAAAAACTAAAATTACAAGTGAACTGTGTGTCAAAGGTTTACTAAACTCAATCTTTGTAACATATTAAAGAGATTAGTTGCAAGATTCCACATCACTCAGGGGTGAGGATCCTGTAAGTCTTCTATGTATATTTCCATCTCTACTTAGCACGAGGCTTTTTGGGAGCTCATTGGCTTCGGTTTCTGTAGGAACTCCGAAGTTAAGCGAGTTCGCTCGAGAGCAATCCCAGGATGGGTGACCCACTGGGAAGTTCTCGTGTGAGTTATCGTGCTACGTTGGAGTCGAGCCCGGGATATGGTGGGGGCTCGGGCCAGGATGTGACATTAATATTGTTCAAACCCAAAAGAAAATACACAAGTACTCTTGGATTTATATATATTTTCTATAAAATTTTAACTAAAACTAAAAGAAAATAATAAGGTGCCTATTTTCACACACCATTTTTAGCCTCACAAACACCCCCACTTATTGTGGTCATCAAACTGAAAAAATCAATCATAAACATCGAACAAGATTAAACAAGAGTGCGAGAATAGAAAAAAATTGTACGTGTGCTTAACGTTTCTCATCAAATATTGTATAAAATATAGTTTTAGCAAGGGTTATGAGATTCCATCATTGCCTCAAATATTCTCAAGATTTGATGATAGCAACAATATACTTACATTAAAGGGATGACAAATAAATTAGTTCTGAACTCGTCATTTTCGAGATTCGAATCTAATACTTCTCACTTATAAGTAAAAGAAATGTGAACCCGTAGTACTAAGTAGCATTTGAAATTTAATTCTTAAAATTATGGTGATGTAAGCAAATTGGGCACTCTACTAGAATAAAATAAGTTCTTATACATGCAAAGCAATTGGGTTCGCCTCTAGGAATAACAGCCCACAAGGTTAAACTCTTCTTTTTCGACCGAAACTTCTCGATTTCATGAGAATCCTCCTGTTCTTAGGCCATCTCTAACTGAGGGCTAGCCAGATGGCTCATTTTAGCCCTTTGGCCCTCCAAGATTCTCCCATATATTAATATTTTAATAAGCAGTACAGGGCCATATTTGCCTCCGCCTCCAACCGAGGTCCAGAGGACCAGAGAGCTTGTTTTAGCCCTGCCACAAAAAATCGTCTCCAACTAAGGGCCAAAGGGCCATAGGGTCAAATATAATTTATTATTTAAAAACTACAACTTAAGCTCAAATCCAACGGCTAAGTGACGTCAGCATGACGTTAGCTAGCCATTGGATTTGAATTTTCCTTTTGCTATAAATAGGGTGGATATTGGGCTATAATTCACACAACTTTGAATTCAATCTTTTTCAATTCAAGTTTGCAATGAATTCCAACTTTGGATCCTTTTCGGATTCCAACTTGGGGTCCTCATCCAATTCCAAATTGGAAGCAAAATGGGCGCAAATGAGACGAGAAAATGAGGAGTGTGATAAAGAAATTCAAGTAAGGCGCAACAAACAAAACATAGCAGCAGCCATGGCTGGGGCCATGATGTGTCAACCAACTGAGGAACAACCTCAATGAAGTGGTTCTATTGCTGGTCACTCTTACAAACCATGAAACAGGGCGATTTCGCATGCCAATCTGATGAACAACTACTTCAACCCCAACTCGGTCTACATAGAAGAGGATTTCAGACGTCACTTCTGGATAAGGCGTCATGTCTTCGAGCGTTTACTTCGTGATGTCCAGCAAGTCAATCCATACTTTCGACAGAAGCTGGACAGAGCAGGCCGCCCTGGTTTCTCACCTCATCAGAAGGTTACTGTTGCACTTCGAATGATGGCCTATGGCTCCCCAGCTGATTCGATGGATGAAACCTATGGTATGTCTGAGTTTACATGCCTTGATACTCTTCAACAATTCTGTGACACAATTGTTCAGGTTCACAAAGACGAGTACCTCCGCGAGCCAAATCAAGAAGATCTGAATCGGCTCCTTTGCAAAGCTGAAGACTATGGGTTTCCGGGCATGATAGGGTCATTAGACTGCATGCATTGGGATTGGAAGAACTATCCCACCAGATGGCAAAGAGGCTTTAGTGGAAGGTCGAGAAAGCCAACTATTATGTTAGAGGCGATTGCCTCATATGACACATGGATTTGGCATGCTTTCTTTGGAATCCCTGGATCCTAAAATGACATTACAGTTCTTGGGCGTTCACCCCTCTTCAATAACTTGACGGAAGGTAAAGCACCTCAACTTTACTACTACATCAACAACCGTCAATACAATATGGGGTATTACTTGGCAGATGGCATCTACCCAAAGTGGGCGACACTTGTCCAAGCAATTCCAAACCCTAGGAATGACGCAGAAAAGTTGTTTACCTTACACCAAGGGGCATACCGGAAATATGTTGAGAAAGCTTTTGGTATTCTACAAGCACGGTGGAAGATTATTAGCGAACCGGCAAGAGGGTGGAGTCGAGAAAATTTGGACTTCATCATGATGTCTTGCATCATATTACACAATATGATAGTGGAGGATGAGCGAGATGAGTATATTGATGGAGAGTCCGATGACGACCAAGAAGATCCAAATAGGTCAAGAAGGGCTCGTGCAAAAATATATGATGGCCCTAATTTACCTCTCAATCCAAGAACTGGTAGTATCTCTATAAATGAGTACATGAGGCGCTATAGAATGATACATTCTCATGCCACAAACAAGTACCTACAACATGATCTTGTTGCACATCTTTGGGCCAAAAGAAGCATGGAGTAGGCGTTTAAGTTTTATGTTGTTAAATATTTTTTAAAATGTTGTTTAAGTTTCTGTTGTTAAATGTTTTTTTTATGTTTATAATTTGTATGTTGGTTAATGTTATTTAATATTATTTCATATTGTTTAATGTTGTTTCATTTTACTTAATTTAATTTAATGTTGTATATTAGCTTTGGAAGTTATAGGAAAAAAATATAATTTAAAAAAAATATGAAACAAATTTTGTGAAATAGAAGTTATAGGATAAAAATAGAATTTAAAATAAAATAAAGCAACTATGTGAAATAGAAGTTATAGGAAAAAAATGGAATTTAAAAAAAATGAAACAAATTTTGTAAAATAAAAGTTATAGGAAAAAATAGAATTTAAAAAAAATATTAAAAATAGAAGTTATAGGAAAAATTTTGTAAATAAAAAATAATAATAAAACTATTAAAAAAAAAATTCAAATGCAACGGCTAGCTAATGTCAGCTAGCCGTTGCATTTGAATTTTTTTCTTAAGCATTCCTGTTGGTTATAACCGAAAGGAAAACTAAATTTTCTGGCCAGCCCCGGGTTGGCTGGCTGGTCCAGCCCTCTAGACCTCTCTGATTCCGTGGGGCCCTCTCATATTCTAGAGCCCTCTGGCCTAGCCCTTGGTTGGAGACGATTTTCGGGCTATTTTCGGCCCTTTGGCCCTCTAGACCCTTCGGTTGAAGATGGCCTGGCTTCTGATTTGTTGGTCCTTGTAATTAGTAAGAAATAGCATTCGGTTGGTCAAGTAAGACGAGACTCTCTACAAAAGAATCCATGAAGAAGTACATGTATCCATCAGTTTCGAAATCCTTAACTTGTTCGGTTTCAGGATCCACCAAAACAAGCACTCCGCCCAGCATTCTGAACACTACTTCACCACTCTTTCTGACACCAAACGGCCCTGTTAGACTTCCTTCCAGGCACGCACTCAGTAATTTAGTCCACGATTCAGCAACACCGTACTCTTTCATGATCCACATGTGAACACGAGTAATAGTATTCGATCCATCCGAAACTTCATACTCTCTCTCAAACAAAGCAAGAGACTCTTCGTATCTCGACACAGACAAAGCCTTTCTTCTCAACTCATGTGGCACCATTATCTTTCCAAATGATTCCCTCGCATATCAAATGACACAATGCGGTTACCCTCGTTCTTACTCGGTTGAAGCCAATGCGGAGAACCATTAACGAAAGCTTGTGTATATCTACCGGCAATACCTGCAGGCATAAAGTCTGCGGGAATAACATCAGCGCTAAGACTCTTCCAGTGTCCCCCGGCTAATAACCGAACCTCAACCTTGCACCGGGCTTTGACATTTTTGTTGCTCACAATTCTCAAAACCTTATAGTCATCTATACGCAAATCATCGCCAAATGCATAAGTCGCTATCAGATTAGTATAATCTGTAGCGGAGAATGCAGGCAAAAACATAAACTTTCTAGCACAAGGGTTCCAAATAATTGTGGCAAAGTTAGCAGCAAGGCATATGAGACCATTACAAGTTCCAACCACAGAAATTATTTTGTACTAAAACCGTTCTCTTTTGGTGGAAATAATTTGTGTTATTGTAAATGAAGGGATTTAGATTCTTGGTGTACTCACCAAATGCAGGGTTGTCTCAGTGCAAGGAGAAAAGCTCACCAACCTGATGAGTAGCGTCCTCTTTCTCGGCCAAAGCATTTCGTAGAAAGAGGTGATCAGTGTTGTCTTGGTTGCTGGATTGGACCGCACAGCTGAGATGGGCGTGAATGAAGGCGGAGGTTTGGATTAGAGACCTCCATGGCAGGCACACTGCGCTGCATTTGCCAAAAG